AGGATCTTGCGGTGTAATGAGTCAAAGTGATCTTAACAATGTACTGTGATGTCAATGTTTGCAAGGAAACATGTCCCTGGGCTGTGTGCGTTTTCGACAAAAGAGAACGCATGAAATCAACGCAATGCAAGAAAAGTGTTCACGAACAACAGCGTACGAACCCTCGAACTGCGTTCTTAGCTAAATTCACTAAACCAAAAATTCTCGATGGAATGAACTTCAAACCCCCACCACCTGAGGTTCAACTCATTATTGATTCCCTTCTATGGATCTTGGACCACTAAGCAAGCAGTCCACAACGACGTACCTCCCGGAAACCGGATGGGTTTCATCGACCTGAGGGAAACTAGTTCAAAGACAGGCGCAACACCCCACCCAAAAGAATTCTTTGTGTCATTTTCTCATTGAGTTCACATCATATTCCATTCTCCGCCAGGCCTCGCCCACAGCTTGGTGTTGGCCACGTCCGGATTCGAAAACAAGAACCAAGGACATCGAGTCTACTCACTCCAACTGCTGGTCCAACCTACGTATCCCTGAACGACAACCACGGTCTCAATTTTTTTGCACGACACAACGCAATCCGTCCAGGCTTTGTGTTTGCTGCAGAGTCAGCAGCTCGCAACAGCGTACTGACCCACAGCGAACGCTTGCGTTGTGTCTACGTCACAGAAAGTTCAGCGGCCCACAGCGGCGCGTGAAACCAACGAGGGATCTGTTGATCAAGTGTCGCGGCTGCGTACACGCGAACTCGGTGGTTTTTTCAAGCCCAAAATCATGTCCTCCAGCATGTGGTGTGCTATGTTTTGCGCACGCTCCAACATCCTGATCTTCTCTCGTTCTGCGGCAGAAAAACAGCGAAAGTCTGGCTCGTCGGGGCACGGTGGCTGTGACTCAAAGGTTAAGTTCGGCTTCTGCGCCCTCTTTTCTTTCGAATAGAACCGGGGGTACCAACGCGGCTGTTTGAAGAGCTGCAGTCTTCTTTCAGGGTTCTTGTGATACTGTTCATTTCCGGAAACAACGTAACCGAGCGCAGCTAGTACCTTCGCAACGAAGCCCAAGCTCTGCTCTGCTCCAGCCATGGGTTTTCCCCGAGAATCCATGTCGAAACGACCCAGGTACTGCAGTGCAGTAAAAAGCAATTGTCGCCCATGGCGCTCCGTGAGTGAGTGCCGTGAGTTGCATACAGTTCCGCAACCGCAAACTTCCAAATGAGAGTCACACTGACGCTCTTTGGCATCCTGTTGCTGACAGTGCACAGCCACCAGCCAAATACGATCTTCAGCGGGGTCACAATATCTTTGCGCTCTGCATTTGTCTCCCCAGGCAGTGTGCAAGGTGAGGCTATGCAACGTAGGGACTACTCTGGGTCTTTTCCCCAGGACTCTCTGCAGCCATCCTTCTCCAGCGGCAAACTTCACACCACAGCCTGCCAGGAAATCGATCACAGCCACGCGGAAAGTGCTTCGAGAATACATCTCGATAGCAAGCAAGCGTCCGACGTGGTACTCAAAGTGGCCTCTAAGGTGAGGATGAAAAACGTTATCTGGTCTTAGCGACGACATGAACAAGCTCCCAAGAATCTGATACTGCACAGCAGCAAGACAGTCGGCGGTTTCGGACTCTTCTGGCACTGGCGGCGGCACTGGTACCTGGTCGCTTTCGTCTGCGTGGGTCACATCACCGCGCGCAGACGACAACCACCAGGGCGCAGGCAGCCGACTCATTCGGAAGGCCTGGTGTAATTTGCGCTCTAGGTCGTTACCCAAGAGTTCTTCAAGAAATAGATCATCAGGAATGCAGGCACCAGCCTTTACAACTTCGACACAGGAACCGAAACGGTCTTTGTGCGTGCTTGTCAAGCTATCAACTTGCAAAAACACATGTGTGTCTTTGACCATGTTCGACCGTTTGACTTCATGCGGTTGTCCATCGTTGGATCCCCAAGTCCCTGAGAAGAGTGGTGCCGAAGGTCGCAGCGGAGGCAAGACACGGGGATATAGCAAGCCAACTTCCGACGGAACACACGTATCATGATAAAGCCAATACTCATGCTCCGGCAACTCTGGAACCACACGCACGCAACCATGCTTGAAACGCTCCTCGATGACTCGGAGCTCTTCACGAAAGTCTACATCACAGGGCTCCAAAGCAGGAGCTTCCGGCGGCCACCCCACAGTGCAACAATACTCCTCACCAAAGCCGCGGTCGGGCTGCTGCCGAAAAACTTCCTGCATATTCTTCCACCAAACTACCGCACTCAAGCAGCCCTTCGGGATCATCAATCCAAAACAACCTTTGCCCCAGACCTCCGCGTCCACCGGCTTCGACAGGTACAGCACATACAAGTACCGTGCCATCAATTCTGCGATGTCCAGCTGATGCTGTTTCTGCAAACACTGCCCGACTGCTGTCACATAAGCAGCCGACAGACCGAAAGGAATCGCAACACGTCCATCTACAAGAACCGACAGGCTCTGCAAAAAATAGTAGAACTGAATCTCATGCAAGCTACTAGCAAAATTGCACGCTAACGGAAACGGCAGGTTTTGGTCAACGATGAGCTGCTGCATTCTCCGAATTTCCGTTCGAACCTCCTCGACGGCGACCACAGCGTCGGCCGTCGTCAACACCTCTTCCGAGGCTTCTCCGGCAACGATGTATAATTTTTTGTCATGCGCGTCCACGACCTGTAGCAGACAAGTGTCCACGAATGGCACTGCTCGGAACGACAGGAGTGCCTGACGCCTCACATCAATTTCCAGCTGCCAACACAACTCAGACCTTTCGACAGGCACAACGTCAGCTACAGCATCAGAAAAACGTACCTTCTTGGCGGGCTTTCTTTTGGGATGCGTGGTTGACAGCGGATCCACGCTGCTGGTGGCAGTCCACATCGACGTGTCACCTGCAGCAACGGGTCCTGGGAAACCAGCCGCCGTGCTGCTGGTGCCAGTCCACATCGACGTGTCACCTGCAGCTACGGCTCCCGATCCTGAGGCACTGGATGAGGCCGTCTGCTCCGACGAACGAACCGACTGCTTAGGCCGCGCTGGTTCCGCAGCGATGTCTTCTTCGGAATCATCCTCCCCATAATCGACCCAAGATTTTCTCTTCAGCACAACAGGTGGTGGCGCCCTCGGGGCCTCAGTGACTTTGAACTCACGTTGAAGAGTATGTATGAGGCCGTGGAACCAACGGCACAAACTCTTTTGCAAGACCCACGGTTCGTCTGCGCACAAGCTACATTGAGCAGGCCACAGAGACGCACATCCATGACGAACAAAGAACAGCCAACTCCTGAGAAAGTCTCCGCCGCCAAGCAGCATGGAAAGCTGCACACCCAGACGCTCATGACCGTGAAACATCGCACCGAAGTGCTCCAGTGGCGGTACCTTCACTTGACCCAAACAACTAGTCACACTGAATTCTTTCATTCTGCCCTCCCCAGTGACGTGCGCGTAGTACAAGGTGTCGGTGCAGTCCAGGAACACAAACTTCGCTGGACCGTAACCGGCAAAGCGTCGCAGCCACCCAGGACCGATATCGTCCGCGCAACGTGCGTGCTGACGGGTTTCGCCCGGCACGTTCCTCATACTTTGCAGCACCCTAGCTTCTCCGAGCCATTGAAAGTCGACCACGATGTCTACGCGGAGCACCAGTCTCAAAAGTTCCAGGAACAAAAAAATCAAACGACTTACATACATACTCCGATGCTTCCCTTGCGAGCACATCAGGAGCAAGAAAGCTTCCTGTGGACACTTCTTTCCCTTTTCCCCGATTCTTCTCAGCCAGAGCAGCATCATGCACAGGAGCAGCAAAGTCACATCTTGCAGAGGATCCAATGCCAGCTGTTTCCGGAAGAGTTGCAGGAGGCAAGCACCATCCAACGTGTGGAAACGCACTCCGTGCACACGGTTGCTCTTCAAAAGCTGCGTCAAAGACACCAGGAAATAACCTGCAGAGTGCGTGTCATCGTGCAGCTGCTGCGCCAACTCACTGACGTACACATCGTGATTGAAATCGTTGTGAACACGCGGGTGTGCCAGATCAGCAGTCCCAACTGCACAGACATGGATTGTCTTTGGTAAATCCGGGAACGCCAATACTGGGAACAGGTTCCACAGTTCCACTAGCGTTCTCACCGCGGCGACATCCGTCACCTCCCAGGCATCACTCATGGCGCGGAAGCCGAGATGCAACGCGGGTCACACCACCGCACGTCGCACAGCTTCCTGTCACCGACAGTCCTATGAACAATGTGTTCTGTGGTCTCAGGGGTTACTGGTAAAATGTTCTTTGGGTAGACTAAGTGTCGCACGCACGTTGGTTTCTGTTGAAACAGTCCTGTGCCTCATGACCCGTGGCCCTCGCGTTACTTTCTTGGTGTCTCTGTGTGGCTGATACATAGCTGAGTGCCTGTGTTCTTGTGGCTGATGTGTCAGTGAGGCCGCACACGCCAACGCGGACCACAACGTCGCACGCTGGAGCGCGGCTCTGAGCGTGGAAACATGTGAACACATGATGTATGTGGTGCGTCTTTGCGTCTTAGTGTTTTTCTAAAATGACAAGTATTCTAAAATGACAAAGAAGTGCATAAAAACTGGTTGTTGTCAATGAGCAGGGAACCAAAACGGCCGCGGACAGGTCTCAATACGAAACTTCACCTGGGTGAGCCAGAGGAGCACTTGTACCATCCGCTGGTGTCAAGCGTTGTTGGTGCCCTGAGATGACTCCCATCCGCATGATCAGCTAGAAACCCCTCTGGTGTCAAGCGTTTTTTACGTTCAGTGACCCTGGTCAACATCAGCAGTGCTCGTACTCAAAAACCGAGGGCTACACAAGAACACAAACGGTATGAGGATGGAAATGTCCCACCAGCTAGTGCCCACGATGTCCATTTTCTGCGTGCGTCCAGTACGGAGCGATCTGGTGGATGCGGTTCGCACATCCTATCAGCTCCCCGCGGTCACGCCGAGATATACTCCGACGCGGTGTGGTCAAGTCTCAGCAGGTCTGGCCGACGCTGCCTGTCGCTCTTGTCTCCCTCGCATCTCTGTGTCCACGAAGCTCGGATCAAACGCGCGAACAGCGTCCCACAAGACATGATACTGTTTGCGAAGAACTTCGTTTTCGCCCTCTCGGTCCCGCAACCACGTAGAATGACTGTGAATGGTGTCCAACCACTCTTCACACTGCTGCTTCGTACCATGTCTCCGCAAAGCATACCACAGACTTCTGCTCTCGCCGATGGCAGCGACTTGGCGTTTTTGCTCCCTGTCCATTGCCGCTCGTCTGGCCATGCTTCTGTCGTAACTGTCTTTGCCGTTTGCCAAGCGCATGAATTCTTGCATCGGCATCTGGTGGTATCCATGCAGATTGAGCGCCGGAGCTTGTGCGGTCGCGTTCGTAGACGCAGAGGACGCATCGGGGGAGGCAACAGCAGCCATGCAAACCACTAGTGAAGTGCAACGCGGGCCACAGCGCCGCACGTCGCTGAAGTCTACAACCCGTGGACCTAAGTGGACTTGTGCTGTATGTGGTGCGGGTCTCTGTGTCTGTCTGTGTGTGTGTCTTCTAAGTGAGAAGTGTTGGTGGAACAATCGTGAGACAGACATAAAAAAGCTGTTGTCGTCCGTCAGCACAAGACATAAACGGCAGCAACGAGGTATCCATACTACACTTCGCCTGGACACTGTTCACGCATCGAGTCCTCCGAGCGAGAAGCCACCCCCTCCACACCGTCAGCGCCGTCAGCCTGAAACCACTCTGGTGTCATCTTTTACAACTAGCGAGAACAACCCCAGTCCACAGGTACAAACATCTAGCACTTTGAAACACTTGGTGTTCACACCAGTGATTCGTCCACCCTGTCGTCTCCGACTACACACAAATCTGAACTCCGACTCTGCATTCTAAACCCAAGCTATATTCGTGGACCACGTGACAGGACAGTCAGCTGATGCATTCTTTTTTTCCGGACCCGCAGACTTGGAGCACTTGGCGTTGCAGCACACAACTGCGTACAACGCCTCTGTGCTCGCAATGGCGAACGGTCATACGGCAACACAAGCCGCGGGTGCTGCAGCACACAACTGCGTGCAGTACCGCTAGCGCCGAACGGAGACACCACTCAACCAGCTCGCGCGTGACACACGGGAGCTCTGGGAGTACGCATCCCCTGGTCTCCTAGCAGCGGATTGTTTCTCCACCATGTTAAGACGATCCACTGGCCAGTGCGTCGTTCCGACTATGTCCCGCAACAGCAACGTAAATTCCTCCGGTGCGTCTTTGAAATGCTTCCGCAAATTTTTGTACAGTCTGTCATTGCTTTCGCCTGTCTGGTTCCACAGCTCCGTGTGTTCTGGCAAGACGCCCTCACGAGGCTGAAACACAAAGTTCGGATGCCCGACCAAAAATTGCCGCAATGCTTGGTGTGCAGTCTCCGCTGAGTGGAAACCCTTAGCCTTGCCTTTGTGCTTTCCTTTCCCTTTGCCTTTACCTGGGCTTTTCCCTTCCGGCTTCCCCTTAGGACCTTTGCCTCCGCCTTTCCACGGAAGTGCCGGAAAATCGAAGCCTTTCCAGTACCCATGCATGCCGGACGACAAATCCCCGAGGCTCACATACGGCGCTGGCTGGGATGCCACACCCAGCCATGTGCTGCCATCCATGTTGTTGCGACCTCGGCTTCCGTCGGCAGTCCACAACGACGTACCGATGTCAGAAGACGCAGGTGTCACACTCGGAGCGACACTGCCGGGTCCACCGCTCGTAGTAGAAACAGCAGAACCACTTCTCGACCCAAAGTCTCGCAAAGCACTTTGCAGTGTTGCAGCGCTGATTCGACCGTCGCGGTACGCAGACAGCAGCATGCGCAACTCCTGTCGCGCGATGTCAGGCAAGCAGCCTTCCAGAGCTCCGACCATGGCACTGAGGACCTCGAACTGCTCTTCGGAAGCCATGGCGCCACCAGCCAACTGCGACGTGGGCCACAGCGCCGCACGTCGCTCAGCTCTACCACCTGTGGAAGTATGTGATCTTTTTGCTTCTTTCACTTCTCCACCTCATTGATTGAGCCACTCTCTGTTGCCACATCATTGGTCGTGTCTGCTGCCGTGTTTGTCTGGCTTTCTTGGTGCATCTTGGTTGCTGACACATGATTACATTCAACCGCGTCAGTATCAACCGTATGTGTGTTGCAGGAGTACTTGTTAATAAAGAAACATTACACAGATGAAAAAAGTACTGTGGTCCATGAGCAGAAAAGACTAACGGCAGCGGAGATGCATCAAGAAGGTGAAAAACCTCCTGTTTAGGTGAGAAACTTCCGTGTTACGGACATTTCACAATAGTGCCACAGTTAGCTCTAGCTTTAGCTTGCTCAAACAACACTTAGCTCTAGGTTTCGCTTGCTCAAACAATAGTGCAGCAGTTAGCTCTAGCTTTAGCTTGCTCAAACAACAGTTAGCTCTAGCTTAGCTTGCTCAAACAACAGTTAGCTCTAGCTTAGCTTGCTCAAACAACCCTTAGCTCTAGCTTAGCTTGCTCAAACAACACTTAGCTCTAGCTTTAGCTTGCTCAAACAACAGTTAGCTCTGGCTTAGCTTGCTCAAACAACAGTTAGCTCTAGCTTTAGCTTGCTCAAACAACAGTTAGCTCAAACAACAGTTCGCTGTAGCTTTAGCTAACTCAAACAACACATCGCTCTAGCCTTGCCGAACTTAAGCAACAGTTTGCTCTTGCGTGAAGTACCTGCAGCGCTTGCTCTCGTCAGCTCTTGCAACGTTAAGGAATCCTTGCCTTCAGTAGCTCTCGCAACTCTCAGCGCTTGCCCTAGGTCACTCTTGCCAAGTCATGTGGTTGACCCCAGACCATGCCTTTCACAGCTGCCTCAAAAGACACCAGGAAATAACTAGCCATTAGTGCGCTGAGGGTTTTTTGCTTTGTGCCAATGAAAGCAAAAGACGAGGTGACCACGTCTGTCCCTCCCGCGGACTTGTTTTCTACAGCGCACGAATCGTCGCAGGGAGAATATACTTGCGTTGTCCACACCGACGCACACAAGCAAGCTCACACAAGCAAGCTGACATTGGCCGCGTACAGCCCACTGACATGCAAGGACACTACATGTCGAAGCGAACTCAGACAGTCAGTCAGCGCGAGAAAGTCTACCGAACGCCACTGGAAGACGTGCAGTCCACAACGACATACACACCGATGAGGCTGCGAACCGGCGCGGCAGATGGACGAAGGCTATGGATGAGATATCTCGGGCTCTTGGCTGTAACGGGCTGTGGGCTGTAACGAACCTGTTGTTGGTGTTGCACAATGTTGCACAATGTAGCTCGGTCATTGTAATTCCATCACTACTTTATGAAACTTCCTACTGGGAATCGTCAAACCAATTTGCTCAGCTGCTCGAAAATCAGCCGAACCTCACTTGAAGATATCTCAGCAATCTGCCGCGAGTGCAGTCCACAACGACATACACACCGATGAGGCTGAGAACCGGTCATCGCCAAACCAATTGGTTCGGCTACTGGAAATTGTGACGAACGGCGCTGGAAAATCTCAACTATATGCCGCAGGTGCAGTCCACAGCGACATACACAGCGATGAGGCAGAGAACCGATGATGCACATGTCACTTCACCGGTCCCGCAGAATAACTCGGTGATTGTAGTTCCTTCACTACTTTAGTGAGCTTCGTGTTGGGAGTTGCCAAACCAATTTGCTCAGCTGCTCTCTTCTTCTTTTCATCGCCTGGACTGATGGCCTGCCACTGCTTGCGCTGCCTCCATGGATCTATATCTTCCTGTCGGATGCAAGTGTAGAAAAGCACTTGCCACCGAGCGATCTTTCTGCCGTGGATCTGTGGCTGGGCAACAACACGCAACAGCGAATCGGCTTGTAGACGAGCCACTCTTAGCATATCTTTCATGCCCAACACCCATTGAAGTTCGGAACCTGTGTTCGTGGTATCGCCGATGTCCTCGCATCCAAAACTGATCCGCACTCCCTTTTCGCTGTCCTTCCCATCCTGCGACGGATCACCCCGCAACTGAACCAAGAACTCAGCGAACTCCACTATCCTGCCACTAGCGTCCAAAACTTGCTCGGCAGCATCCACCTTCACGTCACCTAGGAAAATGGCAGGCACACCTGGCCGGCAACTCATATTGTGTAGCGAGAACAAAGCTTTGCTCGTGCCTGGAAAAGTCACAACCTGTTCTCGCACGCTCACCAGCTGCAATCTATTCCGAGCTGCCCGACTTTGGTATGCGCTTTCTTCGGTGACAACGCACCTAGCAATCCAGTACTTGCTCCGCGCAGCCGCCACGAAGTCAGCCGCTTGTGCAACATCAACAACAGGTTCGTTACAGCCAAGAGCCCGATATATCTCATCCATAGCCTCCGTCCACGCTCTCACTTCAATGGTGGCCGTGTGATCACTCAAAGACAAGAGAGCGTTGTAGCAGATTCTCTTGTCTGCTCCGTGGGTGCACGCACCATTTCGTTTACAACAGACAGAACAACCTTCGTAGGACCAGACGTCTCCGCTGGACGCGGCAATGTCCAGAATCATGGCGCACGGCATCTCCCAGACCTCATCTGGCAGGGACTTCAGCACCCCTCTGTCGGGGACAAAAGCGGCAAGTACGCTAGCCGCAACCAACTTGGCCGGTCGGCTCGTGTAGTCCACCCGGTCCTTCGCGCCATGTTTGGGCTCCGACAAAACATGCGCCACCCCTACGCCGCCTTCAGCGGCCACACCCGTCGCTTCAGCTGTGCCAGTGAGATCCTTCACCTTTGTTTGTCTCGTCCACTTCAAAGAAAAGCTCCGGTTGTCGGCCACCACCGGTGTCAGAACTGGGGAGATCTCATACACACAGTTCTCCCGCAAAGCCTTCTGCATTTCCTGTCTGTGCTCCGGGGAGTAGGCGAGTAGATCGGCCTGATACACTTCTCCTTCCCCGTTGCAATCTTGTAACACAGCTTTCACGAAACTCTTCTCCGGCTGTTCCTGATTATCTTTCTGCCTCATCTCGACTACCCGCGCAACAACCGTCACTGCGCAATCACTCAAACAAGCCGTCATTTCCAAACTTGACCTTGGTGTCCTGCACGGAATGTCTTGGGCAGTATGATCCGGCCAGTCCGGGATGACCTCGGCCGCATCGTTGGCACCAGGCTGTACTTCCGTGTTTTTGTCAAACCGAATCATCCAACGACAACCCGACAAGCTGAATTTGCTCTTATCGCTCCTGCGTGCTGCAATGGAAGCATTGGTGATGGAAACTAAGTGCCCCTCCTGGAACACTTTCTGTGCTGGCGTCGTCAACTCCCTCCACGCTTCGACTTGCACCATGTGCTTCCGAGTCGGACCGCACAAAATGTAACAAGTGAACAAATGCTCATGGGTTTCACAGCCTACCACACGTCCCAGCAATCGAGCGCTTGCTGTTCGACATGCCGGTCCACAACGACGCAGCAATGTCGAACAGCGAGGTTCCAATCATACACAGTGGTCTGGCTACTTCTGTCAAAGTGCATCGGATGTCAGTGTGCATGTGAATGTACATTGACGTACGGCTGCATGCGGATGTCACTCGCTAGTGATACGAAAATAACTGTACTCGTGTTAGTACATGCTCTTCATCTCAACACACACCAACGCGGACCACAACGTCGCACGCTGGAAAAAGGCTGTCAGCATGTAAACATGTTGCATATGGTATGTGTGTGTCTGTGTCTGTTCGTCTGACATGACTAGTAATCATTGATTGATGAGTGCACAATAATGACACAGACATGGAAAAAACTGTTCGTTGTCAATGAGCCAGACACAAAAACGGCAGTGAAGAGGTGTCAACACTGGACTTCCTGGGTGACCAAGAGACTCCTGGTATCAATACCCCTGAGGTGTCAAACGTTTGACATTCAGTCTCCCTGGTTGCCATAAGCGTTGCTCCTATTCAACATCATTGTGACTGAGACACAAAACAACAGAAACAGTATGCGGATGGACATGTCCAGCCAGCTATTTTCCCAGCACACACGGCAACCCCGCCGCGCGCCATCCCGGTCCACCGCTCCCCTTTTGGTGCATCGCTGGGCCCAGTCAACGAAAGTTCTGGTCAAGCAGCCCGCAACGGCGTGCTTGGTGCCGTTCACGAGGAACAGTCCACAACGACATGCTCCAGCACACGACTCTGGCATGCGGATGTCACTCGCTAGTGATACGAAAATAACTGTACTCGTGTTAGTACATGCTCTTCATCTCAACACACACCAACGCGGACCACAACGTCGCACGCTGGAAAAAGGCTGTGAGCGTGTAAACATGTTGCATATGGTATGTGTGTGTCTGTGTCTGTTCGTCTGACATGAGTAGTAATCATTGATTGATGAGTGCACAATAATGACACAGACATGGAAAAAACTGTTCGTTGTCAATGAGCCCGACACAAAACAGCAGTGAAGAGGTATCAACACTGGACTTCACCTGGGTGACCAAGAGACTCCTGGTATCAATACCCCTGAGGTGTCAAACGTTTGACATTCAGTCTCCCTGGTTGCCATAGGCGTTGCTCCTATTCAACATCATTGTCACTGAGACACAAAACAACAGAAACAGTATGCGGATGGACATGTCCAGCCAGCTATTTTCCCAGCACACACGGCAACCCCGACGCGCGCCATCCCGGTCCACCGCTCCCCTTTTGGTGCATCGCTGGGCCCAGTCAACGAAAGTTCTGGTCAAGCAGCCCGCAACGGCGTGCTTGGTGCCGTTCACGAGGAACAGTCCACAACGACATGCTCCAGCACACGACTCTGGCACGGCTTAGCACAGGCAGCCTGAAGGACTCTAGCCTGCAGCAAACAAAAACACTGAAACAGCAGCCCGCACCGGCATGCTCCAGCACTGTTCTTCAGAGCCTGTGGCGGTGTCCTGACTGACAGCAGCATCAGGACCTAGAAATCATCGACATAGCCTTCGTCGTCGTAGAAATCAGCGTCCATTTCTCGCGCCGTGCGCTTTGCGTTCTCCAAAGCCTTGTCTTCCAAGTATGCCTCCATACCTGCCTTTTCCAACTCCTCGTCTTCACGAAGCGAAGCATAATATGCCTCTTCCTCGGCCGACGCACCGCCCTCATCGCACTGCAGCTCCCTGGCCCCAACTTCTGATTGCGCGCCCGGCAAACTAGACGTCTGAGCGCTGACGCCGCGCATGGTTTTACGCTTAATGCGGCCGCCTCCCGCTTTGCTGGCCAAGCGGCGAACAGGCTTGTCTGTGTAACCTGGCTGAGGCAAAACCCCTCGCAAAGACAGCATGTGGGTCAAATCAGCTACTTCCTCAGGACTCATCTCCGCACCCTTGAGGCTTTCAGACCAAGCTACATGACGTTGCACATCTTCCTGCACCGAAGCCCGACCTTCAAAGATAATCTCGGCAGTTTGGTCGTGCAGCTCATCCAAACGCTGCTCCAAGGCGGCACGCCATCGAAACATGTCCGTGTCCACCATGCTTTGGAACGTCCAATAGTCCGGCACGTATTTGAAGGCCATCTTCGAGAAGTCAGTCACGCGGGAAAACCCCACGAAAGCTAATCCACACATTTGCTTGAACGGTGACCAGGTAGGCTCATGTTCCATGTTGAAAACGCAGCCAGACGACAGAGTCAAACCTTGACTTTTGTGCACTGTCATGCCGTAGCACAGGACCAACGGGAACTGTGTTCGAGCCAACCCTTTAAACTTTTCGTGTCTGTTCGTCTGCTTCGGAATGCACACCCAAGTCGGGTGACCTGCCACCATGACCGGACCGACATATCCTGGAAAGTCAACAATAACGTATTCTGCGGCAGCTGCAGACACCCCCCCAGGTTCAGCCACATGCGGCCCCGGCTCGACTCGATCGCCACTCACAGATGGTTCCTGTTCCACCGGTAACACGGCCACGACATGCCCACGGGCACCATTCACCAAGTTCCACACAGTCCGCAAGTTCATTGTCAACATGACCGGAGCCCCTTCCGCCAAATGCAGCACCCGCTTCAAACCTCCATAATTTTCACTGGTGTAACGCTCCACTCCAGGAGTGCTGTCATTGGACCAAACGCGAAGAATAGTGCACTTGTCTTTGGCTGCGACGTCTTCTCCTAGACGTCGGCCGTTGAATTGTCCGGCGCGGCGGTTCTCGCAAAACAAGTGCACGCATTTGCCCTCGAAAAATTTCCGTTCCTCCACGGTCAAAGTGCAAGCTGCCACATCAGTCAAATCGTGAGACTTCCAAAGCTGAACATCTTCTTTCGTGTGCGCTGCGTCCCGCAGTCGTAACAGGGATTCCTTGTAGAGTGACTGGCCCACCTGCCGGTGAATCCGTCGAAGTCGAAACACTACCCGAATCTGCTGAAACAACCGCAAGCCGAGGTTCACATCGTGCCGATCTTGTCCCACAGATTTTGCTTTGGAACACAGCAGCGTCCGTTCGGGCGGTACTGCGACCGGCGGTAACTGACCGAAATCACCTGCAAGCACTACCTTGACGCCGCCAAACGGCAATCTGGCACCGCAAACACAAGCAGTGGCGGGACACACCTCCGCGCGACTGCGACAGTGCCGATCATGATAAAGCTCCACCCTCCACTGCTGCAAGCGCTGATGCACGTGCGCAAGAATCAACTTTTCGGTCATGGACAATTCATCGATTTCAAGCAAGCACATGCCCCTCAGTTCCTCGTCCATGGCACGAAGATCTTCAAACGACAAAGGTTCCAAACCTCCTCCAAATTTGCGCTTGTTCAAGCGAAATAACGACACAAGTGTTCGACCTCCGCTGCCCATGTTGCTCGCAGCGACACCAGTGTAAGCGCAACGAACAATACGACCTTTCAAGCCGTGGGCTTCCAGTAGCTGGTTTGCTGCTTGTAATGTCGTGGTTTTGCCAGTGCCTGCCGTTCCTAGCAAGAGTGCTGGTTCATTCAAAAGCAGGGACCCTTGTAGGTGCTGCGGAAGCGGCAAGTTGGCTTCACACACTCCAGGCGTCGCTGTGTACGCGGCCATCCAAGCTCGCATGTGCTGGACGAACGAATCCTGAGTGGGATCCAACACAGGGCCTGTGGCACTTGACGAAGATCTGTCCTGGCGAACGGAAATCTGCTCTGCTTCCGTGTGCGCAAGACCCCCCTGCGTCGGCTTCAAGACGTATCCCTTTGTCTCGGGGAAAACTTTTACGGCGAGTTCTGGCCACAGCCACACAGAACGCACCTGGTCCAAGTAAGGGTTCAAAGCGTCCCACTCGGCCCGAGTATCAAAGTCCGCGCACATCAAAGCATCCGCGTCAACTGGTAACGCAACCTCATGTAGTTTTTTCCCCGGCCGACCCATGCTCTGTTCATGCATTGCTGCCTGCACATACCGCAACCTCTTTGCTTCCCTGTCGGCTGCATCTTCCCATTCTTCATGCTCCAAAGAATGTGGCTCCAAACAAAACACACTCTGTCGCCATGCACCCGTCTTCAGCTCGGGGTGCGGGAGACTCAGTGGTCCATCAAAACCCACACGATGCGCTGGCGAAGAGGAAACTGCCAAACCACATTGTCTCAAGGTTTCCGCTTTGATGTATTCCCACAGTTCGGCATAAGGTTTCAGCACCACATTTCTTTTCTGTTTGGCAGCAATCCCGGAACCCTGTGACTGGAAAAATGCGTTTGCTAAGTTTTGTAACGCTGTTTTGCTCAAGCATTGCTTGAAAACGCCGGCACCTCTTTTGGAGTAGGGCTGCAGGTCAATGTACAACATCAAGAAAACGAAACGCTCCGTAAAAAACTGGACCTTCTTAGAACCTTCTGGCTTTGTCTCTGTCAGTGCTTCCAGATACTGTTTGACACACACCATCTTCAAAGGCGGCCGCTGTAAGCGAACGGCATCCACGATGCTGTGACGGCGATCCCCAGGCCTACAAATCCACAACAACCCATGACGATTGGCAATCATCTGCCGGTTGGACGGTGTGTCTGCTAAAAACTTATTGTTTACATCCGGATTGCTCTCAGCTATATCCTCCGCTCCAGACTCTTCCGGGTTGTGCCCGGCGCTCAAGTTGATCACATGGACTGCGCTAGCTGCTTTTGGTTCACTGGACACAAGCGCAGGCACGGCGGGACACACCTCCGCGCCGTGTACCCCATGTTGCTTTTCGATTGCTGGCGAAGCAGGCATCGTAGCGGCGGCTACGACAGGGACCGACGCTGCACTGGCGCCAGGCACGGCGGGACACACCTCCGCGCCGTCATGACGCTGACTGCTGTCCGCAGCTGCATCAGGGCGCCTATGCGCCTTCACCCGGTTGTGCTTAGCGTACCT